TTAAAAGAAGAAGTTTTTCCATTTATAAAGCACTCTGTGGGCCAAGGAGAACATATTTGCATTTGGCCAGTGGCTGCCTCTGCTATGAGAACAACGACCATGAAAGTCAGGGGAAGGGTTACACTATGGTCATTTGATTGGCACCACGTACAGAGACACCATGTTTATTTCACGTAACGCTTTCAACACCAGCAACTTCAGGGAGGTCCTGTTATCTCCTAAGATAGAGGAGAAAACTTATTACAATAAGAGTAATAAGAGTAACTTATTACAATAAGAGTATTAGAGTTTAAACTCTTGTTAGAGTTTAAATGAGGGTAAATGTTTCACACAATTTGGAAACAACCTAGAGGCATCAATAAGGGACTGGCTCAATAAATAAGCTACAGTCACACAAACCAAGGCCAGACCTAGCTAAGAACCCACAGGACGATTCTGGAACCCAAGAACTCAAGTGTTCTCCCACCCTCTGCTTGGCGAACTCGGTCCCCCTGAGTGAGGCACCGGGCCTCAGGAATCCTCGTCTTTGTATAACTGTGTCTGAACCAGCCATTAAAAAAAAAAAAAACAAAAAAAAAACACCTAGGATCTGCTGATCTCCACCTGGATCCCGTGGACCCCCAGATAATGCAGAGATGGTTTCCCGAGAGGCCTCTGCAATTCTTGAAAGCACAGGGCAATGTCTGGAGGTGCATGGGCGCACTACAGCCTCCAGGGGGGCTCACACGAAGAACCACACACAAGAAAAGGAGACCATTTGTCAGAGTGTTGGAGAGCAAATTAAAAAAATTCAATGAGACCCATTAAGACGGCTATAATAAAAGTGACGGGAATAAGTGGTGTTGGTGAAAATGAGGGGAACCCCCATGACTGCCTGGGGCTCCTGGGGTCCCTCCCGGGGGACCTGCCCGAGCCACTGCTGGAGGAGGGTGGAGCCGCTCTTTTCAGAGATCATGACCACGGCGCCCTGCTTGGTCTGGTTCCGTTCCTTTCATCATAGACTTGCTTGTAAGCAGGTAACACGCCATGAACGTATGAACATTCCTCTGTGTTAACGACACTCTTTCGGTGCTGGGGTCCAAACTTCTCGAGGAGCTCGTTTGAGCAAAAGCTTCCGCCTGGCCCTCCATTGTGAGGTTTCTGTGTGTGTGAGGAGGGTGTTCCTCTTTCTCTCCTGTACTTTCCCTCCTCTCGCCTCTTCTTCAGCTGTGAGCTCCCGTTCCAGTACCGACACCTCCCCATCAGTCAGCTACTCTGGACCGACCTCCAGGGCCCCACCCCCACCCCCGCCCCGTCATCCTCAGCCACACCCAGTTAAAGCGCTTTGCCGTCTCCGCCAGGCCACGTTGGCTTTTTGTGACCTTTGCACTGTGACGTTAGGACTACGTCATCACTAGGCAATAGGAGTTTTCAGCTCCCAAATCTTATGGGACCACCACCATATGTGGTTGACCGCTAGGGGGTCGGTCCCTGACTGTCCCTAATAGGGTTGCAATAAATACACACTGCCATGTCTTTTATTTGCACAGAACGATTATTTATATGTGTTTAGGACGAATCATCACGTGGAAATTGACCTCTTTCTTATCCATGACTACTTGATAAACCACTGTCTAGCTATATCTTTCAAAATTATTTATTGGGGTGACAGTGGTCAATGGGATTATACAGGTTTCAAGTGTGCGATTCTATCACATCACCTTACATCACAGTGTGCGCACCGCTCAAAGGTAAGTCTCCTGTCTCCATAGATTCGACCCCCCTTTACCGTTTTCTGTCCCCCCGAGCCCCGGATGTGAGTTAATTTATTGAACCAATCTTCTATTGGTATGTTTCTATTATTTCCCGGTTTTAAATGATTTGACTGCAGGCTTTTCCCAATTTTTAAACACTTGCCCCAGTAAAAGAAGTACAGTTTTCCACTGAGATCCAGCATGCACACACGCAACACACACACATACACACACACACACAAATAGCAAAAATCTCATGTTTACCCTTCCTGCGTGTCATGCTGGCCATTCTGTTTTACTCCATTCTATAAAAAAGTGTTGGGACACACTAATTTCTCTCAGCACCTATCGGTAGGCCACGACCTGCAGTTTCAAAAACACTTTCAGTTACAAATGACTCACAGGGATGTAAAGTCAATAATATTGTAATAACTACGTACAGCGCCAGGGGGTACTAGACTTATCGGGGGTCACCGTGTAAATTATACAAATGTCTAAGCACTGTGCTGCACACCTGAAATTAATAAACAATGTCAAATGTCAACTGCAATCGAAAGATAAAAATGTGCCCTGGCTGGTGTGGATTGATTGGCTGGAGTGCTGTCCTGTACACCAAAAGGTTGCAGGTTTGATTCCTGGTCAGGGCACATACCTAGGCTGCAGGTTCGATCCCAGGTCGGGGCACATACAGGAGGCAACCAGGTCAATGTTTCTCTTTTTCTCTCCTTTCCTCTCTCTCTAAAAGCAATGAAAAAATGTCCTTGGGTGAGGTTAAAAAATCAAGAGAAAGAGAGAGAGAGAGAGAAGGAAAAACATAAAATAAAACAAGTTTAATAAAAAAAAACACTCTCAGCATTAAATAAAAAGGGAAAAATACTTATATTGTACTATTCTGAACATTTTACAAATACAAGTTATTTAATCCTCACAGAGTCCCAACAGCCTAGTACTTATTCTCCCCACTTCTCAGCGAGCAACACTGAGGCTCGGAGACGTTGAACAAGTTGCCCCAGGTCACAAGCTGGTATGTGGCAGAGCTGGGCTTCAACCCAGGCGGCTTGGCTGCAATGTCTTCTCTCACCTCTCAGCCCACAGGACTTCCTCCTGTCTTAGGAATCGATGTGACACCAAGTACTTAGAATTCTAAAGAGCTTTTCTTAGTGTTTCAGGGACCCTCATTCAGGGTCTATTCCTTTACAAGACAGTCAAGCAGGACACAACAAGTGTGCACTGCTATTCACACACCTTGGTGAGCACAGAAGCTAAACAAAGACTCCCCAGATTCGCCAGTCTCCTCCGGAAACTCGGCATCCACACACACACACACACACACACACACACACACACACACACTCCAAACCGCTGAACCTTCCACTCCCCAATGATCCATGAGGACCACTCTCAGGGCCGGCCTCAGAGTAATATCACAGAGGCACGTGCTCAGAGCCAGCACTTTCCATTATTTATTGATTTTCCCCCAAAGTTATAAAGTTCCAAAGCCTAATTCTTGTGTAATCCTTGGCGGAGCTGTTTGGAGAATTGGAAGCCCCTTCAGCTAATGCATGGCATATGTCGGAGAGGTGCCGCTAATTCACGTATCTGTCTGCACTATTCAGAGGGAAGGTTACATGCCAATTATCCAGGCTTCAATCAGCCGGTGGGGATACAATAGGGGCAGTGTTCACACTCTTGATGTGCCACATTCCATGCCGACATCACGAGCAGCTGGTCCAGATAAAGACCACTGGGGTTTTGATATTTAGGGATCGCATCCACGGAAGAGCTGGCACTGAGACTCAGGTTTCTTTAACCTGGATCCTGTTCACAGGTCTTTAAAAAAAAAGAAAAGAAAAAGCGTTTCCTGCTCAGACTTGTTGGGTGGGTGGGTGGAGGTGCTGAGGAAGAAGAGAGAGAGAGACAAAGGCACCAGTAGCTTAAATGACAAAGGAGAGAATAATAGGACCGGCTGAATGGATTCCAATAAAATAAAGAACCCACCCACATTCTTGTGCCCAATTTTAGAACCAAACAGGCTGAGATTTCCTCCCTAAGATTTCAACCCTGTGTGTTGGGGGGGGGGGTGGATGTACATTTCACCTCCATTTGTTTATTTATTTATTTTCCCTCTGCTGGAGAAACTGGATGGCAAGTGTTGCCATCCCCTAAGAAAAAAAGCAGCTTCCGGTGGTATTTTTAACCAGGAACAGAAGCAGAAGTGTTTGGAATCACCCCTGAGAAAGCCCCAGCTCTCCGGAGGGCTGTTCCCGAATTCTGCGGGCACAGGGTGGAGGGATCAGGCGGCTAAAATGGCAGATGTTGAGGGCTTTGGGGGGGGAGGGGAGGCCGATACCTGAAACTCTCCAGCCGCTTCCCCTTTGCCACCACATCTTAGATCACTCTCTGAAAACAGAGCTGCAGTCCCTGTGCCTAAGGTCACACAGCCCAACACCCCACTGACCACGTAAACAAACCGCCCGAACAGCCAATCCCAGCTTCTGCCTCCCGGGCTCTGTCTTACCCACCCTGCCCCCACCCCACACATTACCCCAAGACTGCAGCAGGCCGGCCTACCTTAAAAAAAAAAAAAAACAACCAAAAACCAAATCACCAACAGCTACTAGACTACAAGCAGATACACCCTGCTAGTTTTGCGCGCTGTTCCAGCGTAGTGTGCCTTTTTTCCCACCCTCCCAGATGAAAATACAGTAATTAATGCCATGCAGAAAGGGGATGTGGGAGAGAGGAAACTCCTCTCTCTCTCAGTCTCTCTCCCTCTTTTTTCCCCTTCCCCTAGACTTGAAAAGAAATTCTGGCAGATAATTTGGCTGCACATGAAAAGGGAGAGGCTGCTTAGCCAGCCGCCCAAATAAAGTGTTAGGTCGGGGAGGCTCCGCGGGCTGGGCTGGCTGTTGCACAGCCTGAGAAGCAGACATTTATCTGTTCCCATGGAGATGCGTTTTCTACTAGTCAATCAGGCACTGAGGAGGTCAGACAATAGCTGCTAGGTTCTTTTCTCATCTTTAGAGACAGTCGAATCCCCCCCCTTTTGAAAAAAATCATGTAAATTTAGAGGAGTCTCAGTGATGTCTCAGGAATACCTGCAAACGAGCAGCCATGATAATTTCAAGGGAGGCAAGAGAACAAGAAACTCCAGCTGCCTCCCAGGAGGACAGGGCGTGACCCACCTCCACCCCCCCTTTCCAATTTCAAAGCATACGTTGTTCTATCACACTTCTTATTTGCATGAATTTGGCTTCCCAACTGACCTCTCTCTCCCGAATAGAATAATAAGGTCATAAATTAAAGGATGAACACTTCCAAACGACTGGGGATAGGGAAGCCGGTGTAGGGTGTTTCAAACAGAACCTCGGGCAAGCCAGGGGGAAAAAAAAAACACAAAAAAACCCGCTGCCCCAGAAGAGAAACCCGGAGCTGCTGGAAGTTGGTGAGTTGTAAACTTCCTCCCGGCATTTCCTTGCCCTAAAAGTGCGCGTGCAGACAAGATTAGGGCAGCAATTTGACCTGGTGTTTATCAATCCCAGAAACAGACCGTGCTTTTTTGCAGCACATGTTTATTTCAGAAGGTGGATTGCAGTGCGCGGTCCTGGAAACGGAGACCCGCAGAACGACGGTTAAAACCCTCCTCTTTCAAGTGTCTTTCCCTACCTTTTTTTTTCTTTTTTGGCACATGCCTAAGGCGGAAGAAACTCTAACAGAGGGCTTCCTAGAGCTAATTGAGACGGGAGAGGGTGTTTCCAGGGGACCACACGGGACTGAAACAGGAGCCGTTCACAGGGTGGCCGCGGGACAGAAAAGGGCGGCCCGCCAGAGCCAGGAGTCACTGCGTTCTTGTCGGTGGACTCGCTCCAGGGCGGCCCAACCGTGCCAGGCAGAGGCGCAAACGCGAGTCTGACTGCGGCTGGCAAGCCTGGCGGTGGGCTGGACGCCGCGTTTCCATCTCCCCAAGGCAGGGGCCCTGCTTCTCCCGGCCGGAGGGCGGGAACAAAGACGCCAAGTGAGGGGAACAGCCCCAACTCGCAGCGTTGAGGGCAAGCGGAAAACCTCCAGCTGCCTAGTAATGTGGACTGTGCCAGGGGTGGGAGGCAAAAGTAGAATGCACTTTGAAGGTTCTTGGGAGTTGGATTTCCCCGGAGAGACGTGGCCTACTTTTCTCCTGGATGGGGGTGGGGGGGTGGTCAGCGTTCCACCATTCCCTTCTCCTGTTTTCTCATTTTAGGGTTTACAATTTAAGATCGAAGTAATAGACACTTGAAGCTAATGAAATGAATGTCAGCTGTAATTAAAAAATCTAACAATGCAGAACATTATTGAGAGATATCAGAGAGGACCTAGCTAAAGTGAGGGAGGCAGCTATCACACACACAAAAAGAATATGCAATCTCTCTAATAGATTCAAACAGTAGAAACCAAGGAAAAGTCGAGGTTCCTCATTTCCTACAGTGACCCTCACTAGCTCACAGTCTCACTCACTATAGATAACTAATAACTACTTTACACAGTGTGACACACTCATGTTTCCCATAAATATGCAAGTTATATATATATATATATATAAACACATATACTTTGTTTTAAATATACCATGGAATCATATTTATAGACACTATTACACAACTTGTGTTCTTTTTCCGATTAAAATATCTACCACGGGCGATTTTCTATGTCTGAATGTGTTTGTTTTAAACATCAGCTGCAAATCTTTGAGAAAAATGTAATGCATGCCCCTGGTGGGTGGAGAGAGCCCTGGGGAAGGGTGAGTCTCCCCCCTCCCCCCACAGGCACTGCTAGTCTTGTGTATCATCCAAAAAATGTCCACCCGTAGGCTGGCATATATGTGTCTCAGCCCCGAGCACCTTTCTTTGTTTTTACCAAGTGTCTTTCGTCTTGCATTTTTCACCTAGATCTCTTGGAGAGGGGCCACGTTAGGAAAAAAAAAAAAATGGGCATTTGAAACGGCGGCGTAATATTTCTTTGGATGGCGCTCTTCCATGCTATTGGCTCGTCCTTTTTGATGGATTGTGGGTGCACCGAGTCTTTGCTTGTACAAACGGCGCGGCTGTAAATCTAGTCTAGTCCTCACCCTCTGAGTCTTTGCTCAAACACACCCCTTTGTGAAAGCACCTCTTACTCACACCTACGCTCCGATGCTTTAAACCTGGAGAATTGATAGAATTCTCTTTTATTTTAAATGAGGCTTGAAACAGAGCATTATTAACCCACTAAAGGTCTGTTAGGAATATGTGCCCCATCCTATATATAGATTTTAAACCTTTCTCCAGCTTAAGAGAGAGAGGCTCCTGTAAAAGGGGGGGGGGAAAAAAGGGATGTTTCCCACTGCCCCTCCCAGCCCCACCCGGGGGCCAGCCACGGCAGGATCCTCTGGTAGTTCCCCGGGCCTGCTTCTTACAAATGCAAGCTCCGTGTTGGGTAATTCCATCCCTTGCGCTCCTTTCATCAGAGAAAGATCACAGCTCACTCTTAGATTTGGGTGCAGCTTCCTGCTTTTTGTGTGTGGGGGAATGAAGGCACTGGGAGTTTGGGACAAGGTGTGTCCTTGAGCTAAGTGACTGGGACCTGTGTGTGCAGTAGGTTGGGGGGACCGTCCCCCCCCCCCCCCCCGGCTCGCAGGGGAGGAGCCTACTTTCGTTGTACAGTTGGAAACCTGGTGAGATCATGTACAGGAAGGAATCTTTCTGTACAGCCAGTGAAGTCTTTTTGTTCTTTGTCTTGCAGTGTGCACAGCGAATTTCTGTTCCGCCTGGGAAGATGGAAAGGAGCTAAAGAGGAAGGCAGGCCTCGTAGCAAGCAAGCTCAATGAAAAATGTAATTCAGGAAGAGATGCAATCAATGAGGCCAAAACGAAAGAGGAACTGGGCCTGCCTGTGTTCAGAGCAGCAACACCAAAGTCACCATCCTCAAGTTCAAAACGATGCAGGGAGAGGGTGGTTGAGGGGTTGCTGGAAAATATATCACCTGCTGGACTTGCCATTGAAATTCACTATCTTGTTTGCTGTTTATCCTGAGGCTCCTGGAGCTCTCCCGCTGGTTAGGGAGAAAGGGGGCGGTGTAGGAAGAACTGTAGTAATAAGAAAAGGAAGCTTAGGCGCCCCAGAGAGACTGGGAGGTGTAAATAATATGGGGATGGGTATTTGACAGTGACCTCAGAGAAAGGAGAGACAGAACTCGCCCAAAATCCTAAAAATTTAGGGGTGTGTGGGGGGGGGGGGCGGTGAACCAGACATAAGGAAAATGTCCCAAAAGAAAAAGATAACAAAATCCCGGAACTTCTTCCTCTGTGATGTTGTCTGAAGGAGTAAATATGCAGGTTGGCTTTGCCCAGGTCCTCAGGTGAGAAAATGCTGTATGCAAAAAACCGGCCAGAGGATATTGAGCCTTTGGATAAGATGGGCAAACTTGGGGCCACAGATTTCCTTCAAAAAAGGGGGTGAGGTGGGGCAGAAGACACATAAGCAGAGGCCGAGTGATCCTTGTCCCCAAAGAGCCCAAAAGTATTCGATCACCTGCACGCTTCTCTGTCCCCCTCTCTCTTTTTTCCTTCCCTGGACCCTACCTTGAATGGCACTGCTTAGGAGAGGAAAAAGGCATTTTTAGCCAAAGGCTATGAAGTAGGACCAAGTCAGATTCGCTGGACAATGGAACTCTCTTCCTGAGGCTGCCTGGCGCCGTGAAATGGGACACTCCCTCAGTGTGTGACTTGGCAGTTTGCTTTCTCTACTATAAGAAGAGAACAATGCTAATAACAGGTGCTATTTATAGAACCCTTGCATGGAATACTGTACGCACTCACCCATTTTCTCCTCTGAACTGAATGAGGTGGTAGAGCGATGTCCATTTTACAGAATGGCCCCCCAGCCAGACCGCCCGCAAGAAAGTGGTAGAGACCGAATACAAGTTAGGATCAAGTGTTGGCAGTGCCAGTCCAGTGGCCAAATCGGGCTCAACGACTGCTTCTTCCGTAAGTATTGTTTGGTTGGAATGCAGTCATGCTCATTTGGTTATACAGGGTCCAGCAGAAGTAAGGCCTGCTTGAGTGTGGTTGGTAGGGGGATAATATGGGTGTAATAATGTATAGTTTTAATTTGAACATTTCACCGAAAATGTCATAGGGTGTGCCTGAGTGTGATGTTGCTCTGTTACAGATTGCATGCTCATGATTTTGTAATAAAAGATTTTGTAATAAACAGGGGCGTTACTGGTGCCGGACCCTGTACATTGCCTCTGCTTGCTTTTGAGTTATGATGGCAGAGACCGGAGGGCTGCAAAGCCTAAACTATTTACTATCTATTTCTTTTTTTAAAGATTTTAATTTATTTTTAGGGAGAAGGGAAGGAAGAGAGAAAGGGAGAGAAATATCAATGTGTGGTTGCCTCTTACGTACCTCCCCCACTGGGGACCTGGCTTGCAACCCAGGCCTTGTGCCCTGACTGGGAACTGAATCGGTGACCCTTTGGTTCACAGGCCAGCACTCAATCTACTGAGCCACACCAGCTGGGACCTATTTACTATTTCTTTACAGAGTTTGCATATTCTTACTTCAGATTGCCCGAGAGCCCGTGCTCTGAACCCCATATGTTTTTTTCTTCTCCAAAAATGCCTTGTTAGTAAAAAAAAAAAAAAAAAAAGACATTGAACAGGAAATATGAATGTAAAATGTCAGAAATAATCAATTACTGGAACACTGAACCTGTAGGGGCTCAAGAATATTAAAGGCAAACAAAACAAACATTTCTTCCTCTTCCCTTTTGGTTTCAAAATTGGAAGGTGCTTTCATCATAAACTTAAAAAAAACTAAAAAACCAAAACCATTTCTTAATCAGCTTTATTAAAACTACATACCCATCAATGCTTATTTAAAATTGAAAATTTCGGGGGTAACTTCCAGTGTAATGAAGAAATGGAATATGGTTTTCCAGGAGACATAAAAATTGTTTTTTTTATATATCTTATTTTCAAAATTGCAAGAAGAATAAGTTCTTAAAGGAAGAAAGTACCTGATTTGATGTGATGTTTACCCGGGGATGGTAATATACAAACTCTTTGCACTTGGAACTTTGTTTATAGATGTAAAAATTCTGTAACCACAAGAGAATGAAAACTAAGGGCAGTTGGGATTTCCTTCACCCCCTTTTTTGAAGGAAAACTGTGGCCCCAAGTTTGCCCATCTTGTCCAAAGGCTCAATATCCTACCCAACAGTGATTTTTTGGGGGGCATACCCTACCCAACAGTGGTTTTGGGGCGATACCCTATGCAACAGTGGTTTTTTCTTCTTTCCTACTAACAGAAGTCAGAGATTTAGGCCTCCGAACCGTGTTGCCCTGTGAGCTAGGTGTCTTGGTGTCTCACCGTGGCTTCATTTCCTGTAAGTCTCCAGGTTGGATGACTGTGGCTACATATCCAGGTTTTAAAATAAGCTTAGTAAACAAAATTAATAGTAGTGTCTTCTGAGTCCCTTACATGCCAGGCACCATACATGATGCTAAGCCTTCCTGATAACTTTCTAGATGGCATTTGTGAGGTCCAGGTGCAGAAGGGACCTCAGCTAAGACGTGACCTCCTGATCCCAAGCTCCATTTTCTTTCCCCTCTAAGAGAAGATCTGTCACTGAGTGTTCATCTTTTCATTGATCCACCTCTTACCTACTTCGGTGTCTACCACATGGCAGGCACTGCACTTGACCTTGGGGATTCCGTAGAGCACTAAATAGGTAACTTAAGTCGTTAAGTCCATGAGCAGGGAATTTTCAGATGATGATGGATGCTAGGAAGGGGAAGCAAAGTCCCATTCCCTGAGCTAGGAAAGGACATTATGGCATTCTTAGCTTCCCTGATTCCTAAAGGTCTTTGTATTTTTCATCTTACAAAATAAGGAAACTGGAGAACAGAGAGGTTAAGCTATCTGCCTGCAGTCACACAGCTGGCAAGTGGCCAAGCCAGGTCTCAAACCTGTCTGCTACTACTTGCTGTCCTTACACTATGGCATAGAACAGGATTGGCAAACTATGGCCCGTTGGCCAACCTGTGTCTAGCCCGTGTTTGTAAATAAGGTTTTATTGCAATGCAGCGAGACCCAGCGAGCTCATGCATTGTCTGTGGCTCTTTTCACGCCATGACAGCCGAGTCGGGCTGTGGTGAGAGACACTGCGTGGCATGCAAAGCCCCGAAATATTTACTGTCTGGCTCTAAACGGAAAAAGTTTGCCGATCCCTACTGGTCTAGACCAATTGTAATCCTATCTCTCATTATCAGTGACTGCTTAGGGGTAACTACATACACCAGTTTTGGCCAGTGGGACTTCGGCAGAATTCCGATTTGGGGAAGCTTCCGAGAAAGACGCTTTTCCCATCAAAAAAGGTGTGTGGAAGGCTGCTGCCTTCCTTCTTCCTGCCTCTGCGTCAGGAGAAAATGATGAGAGCTGGAGCAGCCGTCTTAAAACCACAAAGCAGAGGCGGATCGACACAAGGAAGATGGCAGAGAAGAAATACAGAAAGAAGCTCAATCTTTGCTGACACACAGTTAAGCCTCCTACCCGATGCTGTAACTCCCCACCTGCAGATTACCGGCCGTGTTAGATCATAAATCGTTTAAGTCACTTTTTACAGGCTCGCCCATTACTTTTACAGCTGAATTTATCCCATGTGATACACATGCTGTGTCTGGGATGACTGTCCTTATTTCGCACTGAAGAAACTCCAAGTTCAAGGGGAGAACAGGACTTGCCTATGGCTGTGTGCACCAAGCTAAATCTGTCTAGCTCTAACGACAACTGCTCATTACCCCTTATAGTCCCTCGGCATTTGGAACTTGGTTTACGTATGTAAAAATTCTATACTCACAGGAGAATGAACCCTAAGGACAGTTGGTGTCCCCCCAACACTTCTTCTTTTCTCCTCCTCCCCCTCCTCTGCCACCACCACTGCCAGCAGAACCTGCATTTCCTTCAGGCAGCTGTGTACTCATTTCTAGGAGATGAGGACGTTTGCTCTAAGAAAGCCATGGAATTCTCCCCCAAACACCTTGATAGGACGTTTACCCCCTAGTTATTCTGGTTCTTGGGTGGGTCTGGGGTGAGGCCTGTGAGTCTGCATTTCTCAGGAGCTCCCAGGTGTACCTATGCTTCTGTTCCATAGAACACACCTTGACCGGCATTATTTTATATCAGAGGGAGACAGACTTTCTCTGTAAGGCACCAGATGGTAAATATTTTAGGGTTTGTGGTCCATGTAGTTCCTGGCAACTACTCAACCGTGCTATGGCAGCAGTCACAGACAGCACGGAAGTGAGTGGGCGTGGCTGTGTGCCAATAAAACTTTATTTACAGAAGCAGGTGGTGGGCCGGCTTTTGCCTCTGGGCCTTCATTTGCTACCCTCAGGCTTAGATCAGTCATGGCTCACTTCCTGGTCGTGGCTCACCTGCGACTACACTGTTGACCGAAAGCTGAACCAATCAGGATTCTGTTAGGAAGGAAGCCCTGGGTACTGGGTAGGCTGTTGCGATCCATGCTGATTTGGTGTGGAACAATTCTTAGGCTGTTTTTGGCAGAGGTAAAAGCTGTTCTACAGCCTAGCTACACGGGTTATCATGAAATCCAGCATTAGTCCAACTTCTGCTACTCTGATAGCCAAACATTCATTAGCAAACAGGCTCAAAACAGTCCCTGCAACCTGTTCTGGAAGTTCAGGGAAGTCCTGGTGCTCCATTCATTCAGCAGCTCTGGCCCCGCCCTAAACAGAAGGCTCACCTGAGGCAGGTGTAACAACATTCCAAAGGCAGGGCTCTGTGCTCTTTGGTCAGCAGGTCACCATTGGAACCTCCTCAACCAGTGGCTGGACACAGGACCAATTAGGGACGGGGGAGGGAGGGCATAGGTGAAGGATGGGCTGTTAACATCTTACAGTACATTATAGTCAATGTACACATCTGAATACCTTTAACTTCGCCCACACAGATCCGTTTCTAATATCATCGTGCTAGTTAGCAAGTCACTGACTTCACCCACGAAAAGCCTGTTTCTGAAGTGCAGGAAGCTCTCGTTGTCATTGCTGCACTGCGGTTTTTTTCTGCCACCTTGTTTGCAGAAACACTGGGCTTTACTATCCCCAAACCTCACAGTCTCAATCGCCAGCAAGCTGGCCGCCCCTGTGGCTGCGTTTGGACTAACCTCTCAGACAGTTTATCAGACCCATTGTATGGAGGAATTTTAAAGTGTAGACTCTCATGGAGAGGTAACACCTGTGTCCACTCCAAGGCTGGTTGCAGGAGCAGAGGTGATACGTTTAAAATTCTGCCAGGGAGTGGATACTCAAAAAAAAAAAAAAAAAAAAAAAAAAAAAAGCATGGTGGTGTTACTGTTCAGAGAACTCATAAGAAGTAATACCAGTTTTTGGGTCATGGGGTAACTCAGCCCCACGGCTTCTCCGACCTTATGGGATTTTCCAATTCTACCAGGTAAAGGTGGAGATAAGGAGACAGGGCACATAGCAGTAAGAACGTTACCTGTGGTTCTGCTGCTGCAGAAGCTGGGTTTACATTTGGTCTGTGTGCCTAGGTAAGTTTCGAATGCTCCTTATGGCTGTTGTGTAGGTTAGTTCCAGGTGTCCCCTCAGGTCAAATGTGGCACCCCCTGCAGTTGCCCAGAAGTGGCCTCGTGTATGAAAGGGGAGTAATAATGATCGTGTGGATAAAGGAAGCTGGCGTGTGAGATAGCCTGGTATTTTCTACCTGTATCTTTAGCCCAGTTTCCAGATAAGACCTGGGCCCAGAGAGTTAAAGTTACGCTCCCAAAGACACGGGCAGAGCCTGTGACAATGACAACTACGCAACAGTGCCACCCACACTAAAATAACGTACTCCAGGCGTTTGGGTGAATCTTCGGTCTTGGGCTTTTCTGGATATTAAAGAACACCCATCAGAGGTTCAAGTTTCACGTTTAAATGAGGAAGTTGGGGAAATATTAAAACATGGTCTTTGGCCAGTGTGGGAGCTCGATTTAGGAGCCAGTTATCAAAGTTCTTGCACTTTGATGTCCAGCAGAGAAAGTTCTAGTTTACCCACTGGAGTGCGTGTTTATCCTTTTTTCAGTCACTTACATCGGAATCTGAAACTTGGAGAATCGGTCCTGTGCTTCCTGGTAGGAAGCAAGGCCCACTCTTCTCCAGAGAAACTGAAAATATCTCTCACGGATTTCCAGCCCTGCTTGTAGCTCCGATGTGGACAAGTGACCTAGGGCCTGCCAGTCGGGGCAGCTGCCCCAGACAGGATCTTAGCCGATGGTATTGAGGCAAGATGTGGTCACACTGGATTAGGTTGGGCCCTAATGTCACGCCTGATGTCCTTACGCAAAGAGGGAAATTTGGACAAAAGGAAAACACTGTGTGAGGAGGGAGGCAGAGATTGGAGCGGTGCGGTCACCAGCCAAGGATTGCTGGCAGCCACCAGAAGCGGGGAGACAGGCATGGGACAGGCCCCCCCAGGAAGAAGGGGGCCGGAGCGCTCTGACTCGGCAGCTGTGGAGCAGGCCTGGCACTCTGCATTTGTGACCAGCTCCCAGGGGACGCGGACGCTGCTGGCCCCCTGATCACACCGGAGAAACCCTGGGGTCCCGAGAATACCCGTGAGAACTCTTTAGTCTCCTTGTGCCTTTCAGTGTCTCTGTATTTAAACTTCGGCATCTTTGTTGTCCTTTGTTTCTGTCGCTGCATTTTGAGGCACAACATTCCTAAGCTGGGTTCCTCTGGTCCTAACGCATCCCCCACCTACACCCTTCATGTAATGGAGGTGGACTGAGCACAGACTCTGGGCTGGGCCCTGTTTTAAGCCTCGGTCTTCAAGGCCCAGGAATAGCTTTGAGCTTTCTCTACGGTGTAAATGGCTTAAAGCCTTCAGAGTTTCCCACTGCTGTGAGGATCAGGCCCAGACTCCATGCCTGGCTAAAAAGCATAGTGGAACCTGGCCCCCAGAGGCTCACCAGAAGGAACGATTTTGTGGATAACACCTGTAAGGCCCATTGTTCAGCACCTGACATACAGATGAACATGTGAGTTCTGTGTCACTAAGATCTGGCCTTGAATCTGCTGGGAGTCAGGGACAAGACTAGCTCAGCTACCCAGTGTTCTCAACTGGGGTGGGTGGGGGAAGGTTTTGCACCGCCCTCACCCCCCAGGCACAATGGCAATCCCTAAAGACATTTTTGGTTGTCACAATGGAGGGAGGGTGCTCCTGTCATGTAGCAGGTGGACACCAGAGATGCCGCTACACATCCTACAGTGTCCGGGACCACCCTCTCCATCAGCACCTCTCCCCTGCCCCACCACGGCGGAGAATTATCTGGCCCCAAACGGCTGCTAAAACCTCCCTCACCTACACCGCAGACTGAATCCATCATAGTTCTTCTTTCTCCCTGTGTTACGCTTCCTTGACCTGGGGACACTGTTCCTGCTGACCTTCTAGAAGCTTCTCTGACTCCCTTCTGCAAGGCTGCTCCTGCCTCCCTGGTCACCCTGCTAATACCTCTCACAAGCAGAGGGGATGCTGGTTTCATTAGGTGGTTGTTAGTTGTCTCCTGCACTTGAATGTGAGTGCTTAGATAAAAATAATAACAATTTAAAAAACACATCACATTTCTAAAGTCTGAAAATTCTGAATTCCAAAGCATATTTGGCCATTAAGGTTTTGATAAGAGATTTTGATAAGAGTATGAGTGAGAGGCGGAGCCCAGACTTGAATCAGGGAATCTGGTCCCTGAGTTGCATGTGCAACCACTGGGCTGTCCTAGGGAGGGCTCTGGGCCTGCGGACGGGTCGAATTGAGGGGAAATGAAGCGGGCTGGGCCTCAGGCCCTCCCCTGGGCTGGTCTGCCTGCTGTGGGGGAGGTCCCTGCCTCCCCCCTTTCTCTGTCAGTAAAGGTGCATGGAAAACACGCATGTACGTGCACACACATGTATACACACACAGAGAAGGGCCCCATACGATTACATTTCCTGGAGCTTTGTGGCCGACTGTTATTTCCAGCTGTCTCGTCTTTCTGAATCAGGTGACAGAGCCCACCAGTAGCCAGGCCAGGGAAAGAAAGCAGATGCTCACCCAGCCTGGCAGGAGTGATCTGGGCCGTTTGTCATGGTGGGTAACCTCTGGCCTCTGTCAGGACACAGCCCCTTGTAAAACATGACGGGCATCATCTCTCTGGCTTTGGGAGCTGCTCAGCTCCTGAAAAGTCAGAGCCACGGCTAACGGGAAAAGCGCACTTTGTCTGTTGGGTACCCGCCTAGAATGAGGTGATGGGAGACAGTAACCCCGTTGCTGCAAAAGCATTCTTTTCTCCAGGCAGGAGGGGAAGCGAGCCCTTCCTCGTGTGCCTGAAAGCTTCCTAGACAAGGTATGGAGTTGCTTCCAGAAAGCAGTGGAAAACCAGAGTGGTTCTAAGTGGGCAAGAATGTCTTCACAAAGGTTGAGGGGAATGAGGTAGACTACAGCTTGGCTGAGGGCTGGTGGTGTTGCCTGAAACACAGCTGTAGCTGGGCGGAAACTGTGTGACTCCCTCCGTGTTTGAAAAGAAGGCACGCAGCCACGTGTGTGTACGTATGTGTCAAAATACAGAAAAGGGGGGAGAAGAACACACTCTCCCCATTCACACAGGAAGTAAAGGAGAAGCAGGCGGCGGCTTGGGTCCCAGAGAGAGAGAAGCCAACTTCCTATTCAGTCACATTGCTTGTGTGATCTGTGTAAGTAACCAGAAACGAAATTAACTTGCAAAAACAAATAAATAAACTAACAACGATCCCTCCCCTCCCCCAAGGAACCGGCTTCATAACAAACAAAAAGTCCTTCAGCTTCTAAGAATCGGGGGAACCCAGGCCCAGAGGGCTTCCCGGGTTGGGGCCTTCCTAGTTCAATCTTTCTTGGGAGCGGATTTAGGATTCTCTCCTGCCCCCAGCGAGGGTTATTATTACATAAAACGGTTACTGAAACTTCCTGCTGAACGAAAGTGAAGTGCTGGATTCCCTCCTCTGTCTCTCCCTCTCCTGGAGTCTGTTTAAAGTCACTACCACTTCCTTGATACTTACAGTTCTGGGGTTTTTTTGTTTGTTCATTTGTTTGTTTTAGAAATAGGAAACTTCCAAATGACTCCTGGTCTTTATAATCTATCTTTTAAAATACAAATCCTCCTAGATTAAAGCACCAAATCATACCTTTGAATATAAAGAGAAAAACCACATTTAGAAATCAGCCTCTTCCCAGTGACTAAGAGAGGCCTACAGTTCTGGAGGATTCGGTAGGTTATGCAAAAATGTTTGGTTTATGGTTAACTTATCGTAAACCGATCGACCAGGCTTCTTACTTCCAGATTATGTTTCACTGGGTTGTGTGTTACTTTGTTTCATTTCTTTCTTACAAATGGGGTGAAAGAGGAAGCAGGAAGTGAAGGAGGAGCGGAGGAGGCAATGATGGGGAAACTGAGGGACAGGTTTGCAGGGCACTAGAAATTTAACGCCATGGCAGCCACTGGCCAGCCAGGGGTTGAGAAGCATTTCCAGTTTTGAATGTGCCCCTTGGCTTTTCTTAGGAGAACAGCATGCTTAATTACCGGAGCTCTAATTGCGTGCAGGGAAAGAATAAATAACCAGCATGGGCGGATCTTGATTAAGATGTGTGAAGTGGGCCAATTATTTTCTCAGGGCTGGGGTCTTTACCATTACCAGGATGGGCACAGTGCGTCCGTATCCCCGAGGCTGTTCAGACTTACGGAATTGCATTAGGAAAAGTCTATTTGCTCCCACCTTTGTGTGTTTCTATTAAATAACCACCATGCAAGAAATTTAGTTTTCATTGATCAGAGGAGATAAAGAAAAGGTTCTTTGAAAGCTTGGCCACAGTGTTAAATTTCATTACTGTCTCTCTCATAGCACTGTTATCGTATTATTTCTTATTTGCTACTCATGGCAACCTGGAGGCTGTCAGAATAAGCAACGCTCATGTTACAGATGGGGAAAGAAAGACACAAGAGGTTAACTCGTGCATGGAAACAATTGGCCAGAAGCAGTTAGGATTCCTGGTCTTTTTTTTTTTTTTTTTTTTTTTGCTCGCCCTCTTCCCGGAAGGCAGGTGCAGTTTCTCTCAGGTTTTATTTAGGGGGAGTTGAGGCATCTCCAGGGTTCATCTTGTGCTAAAGGCTCTGGGAAAATCTCAAGAGCACAATACAATCCGAAGGAGTTGTTTACTTAAGCATGACTCATGCCTCAAACCTACTTCAGACTTTGGGGAAGGGACTAGTGTTACCTTTGTCATCAGGCACACACACCAGCAGCGTCTGCAGACCAGGAACTTGTCTGGTTTTCCTTTGTTTATTACCGAAGGTGACTGCATAGCTGTGGACACTAGGGGACCAGGCTAGGTCACCGTGAGTGGGAGGGGTCGTGATTCTGCCGACATTGATGATAATCCTAGACAATAGCAGGCTCCCTTTCACTGGAGGGGCATGAGCTTTTATTTACAGAAAGAACGACTGAATCACAGCATGGAAAACAATGGTGTCACAGTGGGTCTGAAGCAGGGCCAGAAACCAAAGAAGGGGATTGAGTCAAGTTTCCCTGCTTAACTCTGACACTCTGAAGAATTGCCTTAAGGATGGACTTTGACCCAAAACTTGTCCTTTTTCATTACCAAGGTAACTCAGAAGGTGGAATCCAGAGGTCTAAATGGATGATCTAATAATGGTTTTTGCTTAAGAAAAGACAGATAAAAGTAATCTGGTCCAAATGCCAACCATGCGAATCGGGAATCTCGTGGTGGTGATGGGTCAGTAACAAGTTTCAGGCACACACCAAGTACCGTAAAAATGACCATGATAATGAAACCAATAACGAATACTCATAGCTTGCTTACAGATTTATGTCAGGTACTGTTATAGATAGTTTATAAGTATTCACCCATTTAATAGTCCTATCTACCCTATAATGTAGATGCAATTATTATCCCTGCTTGATAATACAGCGAGGCTAAGAAACTTGTCCAAGGCGGGTAACGAAGGGGAGCCTCAGCCCCCACCCTTGCTCTAGTGATGGTCCCCGAGGCAGGGCTACACATCGATAAGCTCAGTTTTTCCAGCATTTCCACTCACCCTGAGTCCACTTGGAACCCAGGGGCTTAGGAAAAGGCTCCTCCTTGGGGCAGGAGCTGCCTCTTCAGGTTGTCCCCACATGGCAAGCGGAGAAAGGGCCACCTCTTGGCTGACACTCATTTCTCTGCAGTGGGTGCCCACCATTGCATTCGAGGCAATGCCAGGGCTCCCACCATGCTCATTTGGAGACTTCGGGCTGCGTCCCTAACGTCTTGGAGTCTCTGTGTTTCCATCTGAACAATCGGGATGACGTTACTGACCTCCAACGGTGACCTGCAGTGAGGCTTAAACACACGGGAAGCACGCAGGAGGCAAAATCAGGCATGAGATAGATTATGTCTCTTGTTGGACCCTAAACTGCCTTGGAGACAGGGAGCAATCATTTAGACAGTTATTATGAGATGCCATGGATGTATGTATATCACCGAAAAATCACTGGTGTTTTATAAGCCACAAATCCCGTCTCCAGTTCTTATCACTGACCCACGTTGGTGTTTGAATAACTTCTCCGATTAAGCTGTGTTCTCAATAACTTGCTTCCTTGGATTGCTGTCTCGAGAGAGCTCTTTGTTGAAACAGAGTTGACACCAGTAAATTGGGGAAATGGCTGTCACTGAGCGTGAATGGGCTCATGGGGTGTGTGACGGAACACGTCGGTGTGGGGACCAGAGAGCCCATGGGTGCTTCTCAGAGCTGCCACTTAACAGCAGTGTGGCCCGGGATGTATTTATTCGGCCATGCTCGGCCTCAGTTTTCTCAGCTGTAAAATGGGGATGCTAACAACTCCTTTCTCCTAGACTTGTCAGGTGTGGATGAGGACACTCCACATAAAATGCGCTGTGCTGTCCATGGCAAATAGTAAGTGCCCAAAAAGATGTTAACTGGACTAAGCTGTCGATGATAATTATTGAACAGAATGTATACCTAAGGGCACATGGGCATTTTCTGATTCTCTTCAATTCTTGAAGTTTAACTGCGTAAGAAACGAGACTCAATAAATCCACACTAAGTGAGTGATCAGTGTTGTCTCTCCTGCCTTCTTAAGGGACGTCATTTGTTTTCTTCAACCCCTAGATGAGTGTGAAGTTTAGGTCCAGACACGCACACGGTGAGTTTCTGTCTAGGAAGAAGCTCGGGGCAAAGCATTAGCTGGCATCTCTAACTGCTTTGTTGCCAGGAGCAGGGTTCTGGGAAGCTCAAAAGTCAAGGATGACCTTCTCTTTTTTCCCTCTTGGCATTTTGGCTCTGATTTCCATTTTTTTTTGTTTTTGTTTTTGTTTTTTGATGTGTCAAAGGCCAAGGTCTAGTTTGGATTTGGAAGGTTGATGGAAGCCAATAGAAGGATTTCTCTCTCCCTGTGCTTGTTTGCTAAGTTAAAGGCATGGAGGGTGCAATCCCTTCTCGATATAGGAACGGATATTTGTATACTGAGAAATGTACTTTTGTATATTGAGAAGGAGATGCACCCTTCCCCCCACCCACCGAGCCCTGCTGAGCTGAGTGGGTTAGGAAGGGCCACTTCAAGCTTTCCTGGTATGAAACATCCAGGTTCCTCTATGCCGCGGACATTGCTGGTTGCCTAACAACAAGTTGCCTTGGCTACAAGCAGGAGGACTACCTAAGGAGGGGTTAACCAATCAGGACGTTTCTTCCTTCACATACTACGAAGTCTTAGATTCCAGAGCTGCTGGAGCATTCCAAGAACGTCACTGAGGACTCAGTCTCCTTTCGCCTTCCCGCCCGCTGCCCTTTGCACGTCACCCTCAACTCATGATTCCATGAGGGCCACCCCTCGCAAAAATGGGGACATATCCTTATGGACAGAGGAAGAGAAGGTAACAGATGTGTTCGCTGGCAGACCCTTTATCTTTTTATCAAGAAAAAAAATTCTGCCAGGAAGTTGGGGAGATCACTTTTTTCTTTTTTTTTTTTAAAGCTGGGCCCTGAATAATTCTAGGTTATTTAAATGAGCAGCTAGCCGTGTCTACCAATCACCACACGGCTCTTCCGTTTTCCCTAAGAGCTCTCTGTCCTCCTCGGGGTGGCATATGCTTCAGAGAATATTTTCACCTGCCCCAGGAGGAGGACTCGGATTAGTTTAAGTTTTTCAGGGGGATCCCTTTCTTGTTATTGATGATAATGCATTAATATGAGACATCGTTTGGGGCAATGAATGAGATTTGAAGGAAAAGGTACCAAAGGGCCTTAGGAAAAAGGTCTTTTCATCCTAAAGAAAGACTTGAGGAGCTGAAGAGTTATTTTTTCTGCCTCTGGATGTTGTTGTGTGAAGCTGTGATGGCTGGAGCTATGCAGTGATGTTGTGAACATGAGGGGAGCTAGGTTGGGGTTGGCAAAATGGAAAGATGGGGGAAAAAAACCTGTGTTATTCAAGAGGCCACTGGAGGTACTTTGACTCCAGACTTCTTTTTCAGGTGAGGTGATAACATTCTTTACCCTTTAGGTATTTTGAGCTGGATTTTCTGCTACTTGCACCCACAGGGCTTCTAACTGATGCTTGTATGATGGGACCAGTAGAATGGGTCAATTTTATAAAAAACAAATATACTGGCCCTGGCTGGCATAGCTCAGTGGATTGAACACGGGCCTGTGAAGCAATAGGTCGCTGGTTCAATTCCCAGTCATGGCACATGCCTGGGTTGCAAGTGAGGTCCCCAGTAGGGGACACGTGAGAGGCAATCACACACTGATGTTTCTCTCCCACTCTTACTCCTTCCCTTCCCCTCTCCCTAAAAATAAATAAATAAAATATTAAAAAATATCCCCCCCCAAACCCCAAATATACCATTAAATAATAGAAATAACTCTCCATCATCTCCTCTCTCCTCAGCCTAATTCGCAGCCGTTCTTTCACCAGGACAGGGGCACTGCCACCTCCGGATGTCACACTAGTCTTGTTCCCCTGCCTGGAATGCTTCCTCCCAGCTGGGTATTTAGCTTCAACCATCTCTTTATTCTGTCTCCACTCCAGTATTACCTTATCAGAAAGGCTTCCCCAACTTTCTGATCTAAAATATGGCTCACTCTCCTTTCGTGCCCTGCCATCTCCTCACCCCCCTGTCCTCTTCCTCATAGAACTTTCCACCAACATACGTCCTTGTCTCTCTGCTTCTCCACAGTCTCACAGGGGGCAGGATTTGGGGTCAAACACACTGGTCTGGGACCTTGGGCTCTGCCACCTGCGTGGACCTGGTCAAGGAGCAGAGCCTCCATTTCTTCACCGACCGCATTGTTTTGAAAAATGTAGCTCATCCACTTTAGTTAGAGACAAGTAAGAGCACGACCATGAACCCCGAGGCTGTCGTCACACAAGGTAAATACGGGAGGTAGGGAGCATTGTTGTGCAGTGGTTGTCCTGGACCCAGGGGGCAGGTGTCTCCACGCACCCGCGTGAAGGGCTTTCCTAGGAGACTTGAAACGAGACCGATAAAATGTGGGAGAATCGTGAAAAATGTAAAATGAACCCAGTATCTCGAAACTGCTGCCTGCCCAGGTCAAAGGTAAGAACACGAGAACATTCTGCATAAACAGACGTTATTAAAGGTGATGGTGGCTGGAGGGTTGGTCCCAGCCATGCGCCGCCGGGCATCCTGCATTCCTTGGCAAAGATCCTTCCCCCCCCCCCGCCTACGTTACCAGTAGCTGTAGCTGGGAAGAATCACCCCACTCAGCTATTTTTAGCAGCTTCCCATTGAAGTGTTCGATTTCACATTTTAAGTTGGTTTCAAAATGCTCGCCCAACCCAAATAAACCCAGGCTCAAAAATGAAAGGAAATGGCTTATCGCTTTCTGATGCTCTAAGGAGTCAACAGTGACGCCGGCCCTGTGCGATGCTGGGTCCTTCAGCCACCCCGCCGCGGGGCAGGACGCCCGCGCATGCGCGCTGCCAACTGCTTGCTGAATTCCTGTCCAGACGAGCTCCTTGGGATATCTTCCCAGAGGATATTATCGCGACCTTCTAGATAATCCACCGAAATACCATCTTTCAAGAGTTTCTATTCAGATTCCATTAAACCTCTCTGATTGGATTCCCCTATACCGTAGGGGAGTATTATTACCACACTTGATAAAAGAAAGCAGGCCGTTCATTCATCCATCCATCCATTTGACAATAATTATTAGGTGCCTAGGGCATGCCAGGAATTATTCCTAGGTCATTTCTGGTAGGGGAGCTAAGAAAGCACTAATACATAAAAAGTTAATTAATTTATGTCAGTATAGAATTGAATAGAATAGCGGTTACATTTATTGAGTACAGTTAGTAAGTTAACTGAATGTAACCATACACGACAGCCTTGATGTAGTATCTTGGTATTACACACTGGGTGGGACCCTTAGCTCTTTAGAAATATATTAGCTCACTTAATGCTTCCCAATTTTACAAATGAGGAAACTGAGAAACCAAAAGGTTGAGTATCTTTTAAAAGTCCCGCAGTGGTTTGGTGGCCAGTGGGATCTGAAGGCTGGCTCTGTGGATTTTTGAGTCTGTCTTGCAGACGTGTGACAGTGCCCTGTGTGACCGTTGAGACAGCCCATGAATGAGTGGACAGGAGGAGTCAGAAGCTGACAAGGGCCACAACAGAGGTGAACTTGGTGATGACGATGAGGTGTGGGAGCAGAGGAAGTGTCAGCGATCTGGGAGAATACCCCGGAGGTCAGTGGAGAGGACAGCAAGTGCAAAAGCTAGAAGCAGGAAGGAGCGTGGCATATTTCAGGGACAGAGACCACACGTGTGTGACCAGGTCAGGGTGTTCCAGGGGGAGCCAAGGGTGGGAGGGTAGGCAGGGGACGGATTCTCGTGGGTTTTGATTCAAACACCATTCAAAACCGAAAATTGCTCAGTGAATCAGCCTGCTCAGGGTTCTGCGGGGGATCGTGGCTGGCACTTGTCACAGGGCTTGGGAAGGCGCAGAAACCCATTTTGTGTCATTCTTCGTGGCTGAAAACCTTGAAGCATTTTCAACTCTTTCTTTTCTTGATTAAGTCTCTGAACAAGATAACGGAGTCCCTCTGGAACGACAGGAGTCTGACCTAAGCTACAGTCCTGGACCCAGGGACGTGCGCTGAGCTCCAGTGAGCATGGGACCATTCAAGCAGAGCTTCATGCTCACCTCAAGACTTCCCCGAAGGGGCATTTCCTTGGGTGTGGATTAAAAATAAACTCTGAATATGAAACTACTTTCCTGTGATTTACATGATGTCTAAAAATGGGACGTAAGAGTCAAAACTAGGGAAAAAAGCAGGTGGGCTTTCTGCACTCAGTTTCCAGTGAATCTCACTGGAATTCCAGTGAATTTCCTGTCACTTGTGTGTCCCCACAGCGGGCGTCTCTATGGACTGATGGCTTTGGCAGGGAAACAAAAGACCTGGGTTAAGGGGAAATAAATAGCCTGGCCCGTGATCCAATATTTTGCAGCAACAACTTATGTGCTGGCACCTACTCAGCCTTGATGTAATTGGCCGAACAATCTGAGTACAACGATCAGAACACACTGGGCCCTGCTGGGCCACACTGGGCCCATATCAATCACTACGAGAGGCAAGGGAGCCTGTTTTGGAGCTCTTCCGAGGGGAAAACCTGGGGACTTTCACAGGACATTCATCAAGAGAAAATGAAGAATTCACACCAGGGCTGGGTTGCTCGGTTGGTTGGAGCATCATCCCATATATCAAAAGGTTGTGGGTTCGATCCCTGCTCAGGGCACATGCCCAGGCTGCAGGTTCGATCCCGTGTGTGGGAGGCAACAGATTGCTGTTTCTCTCTCATGTTGATGTCTCGCTCTCTCTCCCCCACTTCTTCTTCTCTCTCAAGTCAATGGACACATCCCTGGGTGAGGGTTTACAAAAAACCAACAATAACTCAGCAGCCTGTGTTTCAATCCCTAAATTCCCAATTTCTTGCTGTGTGGCCTTGGGAAAATGACTTAACCTCCCTGAGCCTCGGTTCCCTCATTTGCCACATGGGCATAAAAATGGCACCCATTTTGCAGGGTCGCTATGAGAGCAATTGATAAGTCAGCTTGTAATTGATCACACTGACTAAGGAAGTTCCTTCAGAGCCTCGTGTGAGTAGGCCTTCAATAGATGTCTCTCTTTGTTTCTTTTCCCATCATACCCTTCCCAGTCCTTAGCCGGGGCCCCAGTGCCACGGTCCCAGAGCGCCTCTTCCCATGACCTGGGGAGGGAGGAGGGGGGCACGTGGAGGTCCCGCAGTGCAGCAGCGGAGAAGCCCTCGTGGGGTGCCTGCCCCCTACAAAGGGGGCCTCGCTATAGGGCAGGGTTCTAGTGACATTCTGGGACATGCCATCCTTCATTGTGGGGACTGTCCTGTGTACTGTAAGACACTTAAAGATTATTTATTTACTTATTTTGAGAGAGAGGGCAAAGGAGGGAGAAAGAGAGGGAGAGAAACATCGATGTGAGAGAGAAACATCAACCGGTTGCCTCTCATATACACCCTAACCAGGGCCTGGGCCGCAACCCAGGTATGTGTCCTGAGGATGGAACCAGTGACCTTTTGCTTTGTGGGACTGTGCCCAACCCACTGAGCCGCACTGGTAAGGGCTGTAAGGCATTTAGCAGCATCTTAGGCCTCTGCCTACTAGATGCCAGTAGTACTGCCTTCCCCAGCAACTGGGACAAACCAAAATGTCCCAGATGTTGTCAAGTGTCCCCTGGGGACAAGCCATGTGGTACGTTTAAAGTTTATTGTTTAAAAAACAATTATATATCCTTATTACTGGGAAAGAAAGAGAAAGAGAGGAGAAAGGAGAAAAGGAAGGAAGGAAGGAGGAAGGAAGGAAAGAAGAGAGAGAGGAAGTGTACACAGATGAACAGAACAGAACCAAAACTAATTACAACAGGACACTCCTATCTCTCCCTACCAAAGTTCCATAAAATATCCTCAGAAACTAGTTTTTCTGTGTGCAAATTTATAGGTCAAAATATGTTTGGATCCAACCATCACGCGGAAGATATAATCACTAATCAACAAACAAACTAACAATCGCTAACTAACAAAGGTGCCTATATCAGAAATGATGGCATTGCGTCCTAACGCCCACCTTCACGAGCTGCGTGACAGTGGCTCTGCTGCTTCCGTGTCCTCCCCTGTCAATGGGAGTCATCGTCATGCCTAACTCAGCACAGCGCCTGAAACACTCACTTTATCACGTGCTCTTAATATTTGCAAAGACACGTCTGGTATGTCACGTGCCAGACACAGTGCCAAGAGCTGCCCGCAGATCAGTGCGTATCCTGATCAAATAACCATGTGCAACAGATGTTAATTTCTTCCCATTTCATAGGACTGGAATCTGACGCTGACCGAGTAGTAGTTGCCACAGCCACACAGCTAGGAAGGCAAGAGTGCAGTAGCACTTAACTCCTCCATGATTCTACTTTCGAGCTTTCTTGATATCGATATTATTTAGAATTATAAAACCGTCCCTAACAAGAGCACAAGAAAGGCCAGTGTGTCTCCATGTCCAGGCTCTTCCTTCCTTGGAATAAGCCAGGAATCTTAAAGTGCTTCCTTCATGGATACAGTCAATTATTTTCTGTTGTCACCTGCTAAAGACAGGCCATTCCAAAAATCCAAGGACGTACCCCCAAGTTGAAAGGGTGGCAGAGACTTTGGAGATGGCTGTGCTCCGTGATTTGCTGCCAAGTCTTCAATAAACTAAGTGACGTCATGTCACTTCCGCATATTCTGTTGGTCACACAACTAATCCTGACTTGACGGGGCGCGGTTCCACAGGGACAGAAATATCCGGCTGTCGGCTGGGGTCCATCTCAGAGGTGGCCCCCTGCACCTACTGGGTGCTGTAGGAAACTTCTCTTTAAAAAAGTGGACTCTGACTGGAAGATCAGTTTGATGAAGGACTGAGCCTCACGTGGTAAGTGGATAACTCGTTCGCCTGGGAAGGTGTTCCTGGAAAATTTTACAAAAACACCTTTCACGTCAAAGATAAGGAACATGACGTATTGGGCCCGTTGTTATTTGAATTTAGATCTTAAAAAGCAAATAAGCTAGAAACCTGGACTTGGATGAATAGATAGTGAGGCAATGCTCGTGGTTCTAGAATTTAATGTGTGTCAGAAGATAGCAAAGTAATAAGTATTAGTGTGCCATATCCTTTGAAAATGTACATGTGGTCAACCTTTGAGATCCTTTCAGGCATGTACCATCATTTTTGAATATTATACCTACACCCCCCCCCCCCAAAGGGCTGTTAACGACAACACGCTGCCTGATCTGGCTCCTGCTTGGTGTCCAGACATAATCTCACTCACCACAGTCCAGCTACACTGGGCAACATTCTCAAACACAAACCCCTCCTACCTCAGGGCCTTTGCACTTCCTGTCCCTCTGCTTGGACTCCTACCCATCACTGGCCTGGCCTCCTTAAATTTCTGTACATGCGCAATTTCTTCAGAGAGGACTTTCTCTAACCGCCTCAGTTATTCTCATTTTCATCAGCTGGTGTTGTCTTACACCACTCCACACAACCTGATTTATCTTTAGTTTTTAAATTGTTTATTGCCCATCTAAAAATACAAACTCTTCATTGAACATATTTGATTACGTATCCCTTATAAACTAGCCCACAGTCTTGCGAACAATAGGTGCTATTTATAGGCGCTAAAGAAATATTCTCTGAATTTGTTTGTGCTCTGAATTCACAAATAAGTGACTGACATTTGGTTGCGCTCACCTCTGACTGATGGGCAACTGAATTTTGCTTATTTCCGGTTGCCAAGGGTTGCCTTTATCAGGGACTGGAGCCCTAAAACATTTCCTGTCTTGTGCACTGTTGGGGGGGGGGCCTGACATGTCTGGAGACGCGCAAGAAAGAATCAGCCGTGGCACCTCTTTAAATACATGACCATATGAAACATTCAGTGCCTCTGTACCTGGCTCACAGAGAATTCTGTTCTCAACACATGGCAAGTTGGGGTTCAGAGCCAAAGTCCACTTGGCAAATGTTTATTCTACGATGGCTTTCCTTTTGTTTCCTGTAAGTATAGCTTCACGCCCTGCCAGGATTTGAGGTCACAGAAACACAAGGAGGCTATTAACATATCAATGGAGAAATCACTTTGGAATCTTGAATTTGGAATAATATTTGCATCTCGAGCTCAGAAAGCTGCTCGGGCAAGCCTGCTTATTGATTGCCTTTAATTTCCCCTTAAAACAGTGCCTGTTTCTGAATAAAAGATTAATGGAGGAGGGCTCCGTTTGTCTCGTGATTTATCCGTGGAGTTCTGCCTCCTTACCATTCAGAAGCACGTAGCACACACGTCCCCACCCCCCCGAGATGCTTGAATTCAGTTCCTCAAGAAAAATTGCTGCTGATCCCCAGAGCCTGCAGCTTAATTGAATTTGTCTTTGTCCACTTCATCTTCGTGCTCACAAAAAGTGGGCTGGGTGGTATTTATATGGAAGAAACGTACCTGAAAAACACAGACGATCACTAGGCGGATGGGTTGAGGGAAGAGCATTAAATGCACTTAAAAAAAAAAAATGGAGGATTCCGTTTGGAATGTCTGAGCTGTGCTTCTCTTTGCCTCCGGCTTTAACAGACACACCAGTATTGCCCCAGTATAAACACAGTGACCTAAAAAGTAAACGATTGTGCCAGCTTGGAGCGGTGCCAGCACTTTTGTCCTGGCTGCAAATTTCTACTTCCTTTTGGGGAAGAAAAAAACAGGAGAGTAATGTGAAGATTTCTGCTCTGTGTAAAGTTTGGAAACCTCTTTCTATAAATGAATGGTGGTTGATGATGATAACCTTAATAACAGCAATCATTTATCAAACACTTTAAAAGAAAACCAGCGTGCTAAAAGCTTTCCACCCTTTATCGCATTTAATCTTTGCTCCAACGGGCTGAGGAAGCCCTCCTGCTCACGTTCCCACACAGACAAGGCTCAGAGGGGCGCAGGAGCTGCCCACGTTTGTGAAGTGGCTGAGCCAGATTTTGCAGCTGGGTGTATTTGATGAGGAAGCCTGAGAACCTAATCCCACCAGGAACAGTGCATCCATGTGGGCTGGCCTCCATCTCCACTTAGTTTTTTAATATGGTGGAGGGAGGAAGCGTGAGTTTTCCCACTAGGCAGCCAA